ATCTTCCAGAGGACCCAAGTTTAATTCCCATACTGGGCAGCTCACAACCGCCTGCAACTCCATTTCCAGGAACTCTGACGTCCTCTTCTGCCCTCTATGGGCATCTGTGTGTATATGCAGATACACAGACACACACAGACAGACAAATGCTGAAATAATCTTGTAAAGACTTCATGTCTGCTATGTAAACAAGCTATCCTTTCCAACTGTGTCTTAGGTGCCCGGGATATTTAACCTTTTCTATAATGTCCATTCCTCCATCTTTCAATGCTTTGCCTTCGATTCTTTTTTCCTGATGTGATCATGGCCACAACTTCTTTAGTTTGTCTAAATATACCGTTCTGTCTTCCTTTACTTTAAATCCTCCTGGAAATTAAATATTTATATGTCTCTTATTAACAATTTAAAATTGAACTTCCTGTAATCTCTTCTGACAATTTGGGTTTTATTTTTTTCTACATGAAAAAGTTCAGTTATTGGAATTCTGTGCATTTGATTTTAATTTATATAATAATTAATGATCTGCTACATCTGTCATAATAATCGGTGCTTTAGAATATTTTGGCCATTTGACTTTTGCAGTATACTTACACTTCCTTCTATTTTTATTTTTCTCTGGATTTCTTTTTTTGATTGATTGCATTTCTCCCCTCCAGCCTCTATTTCATATATTTTCACCCTCATCATTAAATCACTAATGCCTAAAGTTAATTGGCCCTTTGTCAGTGACTTGACTTTGTTGATCTGTTGTGTGTGTGTTGGTGGGGTTGAAAGTGTAGCTACAAAAGACAAAAAAAACAAAAACAAAAAACCAAACAAAACAAGCTGATTTCCCAGCCGTTAACAATCTTGCCTGTTTATCCACAAACGGGGCTCACACCGATGGCACAGGTGATAATCCCATCCTTACCTGTCGTAAGAAAACCTGCTCCTTCCAGTGTTGTGGTGCCGTCTTGGGAACTTGCTCATCACCTCTCTCGGGGTGTATTTTTAAAACTTCTGTTTTTTCTTACCATTGGTAAATTCTATTGTTCATATCACTGGCCTTCCAGCTGCTGTTCTTTACGGCACATGGAAAGAAGATGCGCTTAGATTGTTAGATGACCCGAGACTCACTCTGACTCATGACCAGGATTGCCTGAAGGCTTACTTAGGCATGAAAATGAGCCAAGAAGCTATCTCATGAGCAGATCAAAATTAGCCCAGGAAGAAAGGTTACTATATTCTTCTAAAAGACGTTGGGCAGCCCCGAGGCAGCTTTGTGTGTCTGCTGGCCTCATATTAGTGCTTCAGGGGAGGCTGAAGGTAGGAGCCTCAGAGATGGAGTAAGGGTCAAGGATTCCTGGGATGCTAGCCCAGCGTGGGTCGCAGTGGTAAAGGAGCAGGCTGCCGAGGCCAACAGGTGGGGGTGCAGGAAGAGGTCCCCCACCAGTTTGAAGTAAGTCATAGATGTTGCATTATGACTGAAGAGAAGTTCAACACTAAGTAGAAGTGTAGCATTAGGCCTCTTTTGGAACACACACCTGCCCCTTTAAGACAGTGATCACTCTTAAGGGGCCAGATCCATGAGGTGGATGTGGGGGTACACTCTTGTAACCCAAGCATTTGAGAGGTAGAGGCAGGCAGGTCTCTGTGAGCTAGAGACCAGCCACACACAGAAAGAATGAAAGAAAGAAAGGAAGGAAGAAAGAAAGAAAGAAAGAAAGAAAGAAAGAAAGGAAGGAAGGAAGGAAGGAAGGAAGGAAGGAAGGAAAGAAGGAAGGAAAGAAGGAAGAGAGAGAAAAGAGACAGCTCTTGATCCACACCCTGTGTGGGACAGACTTAAAAAGTTTCTCTGTGTTGTGTCTAAATAACTTCTAGATTCCTAACCAGTACCTGATTGATTGATTGATTGAATGATTGATTGATTGACTGATTGGTTTATGGTTTTTCAAGACAGAGTTTCTCTGTGTAGCCCTGGCTGTCCTAAAACTTGCTTTGTAGACCAGGCTGGCCTTGAACTCAGAGGTCCGCCTAGCTCTGCCTCCTGAGTGCTGGATTAAAGGCACGTGTCCCACCGCCGCCTGGCCTGTTTCCTAATTTTTTGAAATACAGGGAACTAACAGCATCGAGTTTGTGGACCTAAGTGTCTGAGAACAATGGTTCCCACCTCCCTCACTTTCAGGATGTCCTGTCTCAATTCACCCTGAGGTTGACCACCCCCAGAGCTTCTGTTCTAGAAAGGACCCCCAGCCTACCATGCCACCTGTGAATCCGGTTCCCTGAAAATGGGTTCATTAATGGTCGTTCCACTGCTGCTCAAGACACAAGATTAAAAGGAAGGAAAAACCAGAAAACAAAAACAGCTAACCCAAGCTTGCTTCCAGGAGTCTTAATTCCTCTCTAAGCTCTTGCTCTCTGACTGGGGCAAAGCTGCGATTGGAAATGTGACGGAAGTCACTGTAGTGGGTAGCCATTCCAGCTTGGACCTGGAAGTTCCAACCCCCACTGAGACTCTGGCAACTGTCACGGGTTGAAACTTCCAGATCCAAGCTGGAATGGCTACCCACTACAGTCACTGTGTCCTTTCTGCTCCCTGGAGAGTTGCAGAAGTGTGTTTGCTTGATAGCATGTGCATGCTTGCTCCCGTTAGTCTGCTTTAAGGAAAACCATGGCCACTTCATCAGGCGGCTTATCGTGCCCAGGGTTTCTACTGTGTTTGCAACAGTTAACCATTTTCGTCTAGGCTGTGTCTGCTAGGCTACAAACACACGCAGCTAAGTGGGGGCTATCATTTAAAGGTACCTCTTTCTCCGCATCCTCTCCTTTTTGGGGATGGCGAGCCTCCCTGTGGCACTAACTTTTACCCATTGTTCCAGCCATAGGAAGCCATTTCTGAGGTTTCTGGGTGATGTTTTTCACGGATTACTCCTCCGCACACCAGGGGCCATGTTCTAACATAGCCATTCCCATTACACATTCATAGGTTGGTGCAATGACCATCAGGTGGATTCAAGGGCACAGTGGACTCATTGTGAGTCTTTCCTGCTCAGCATCCTAGTTATTTTCTGACCCCTATAACGATAATGTTTGAGTCTCTGATTTCCAAGGTTGATTAGACTCTGTGTCCAATAGTCCTGGAAAGTTCTCACTGTTTTCTTTCCTTCAGAGTATAGTTACCTGACTATTTGACTGCAAGGCCTCCTGAACAAGGCTAAAGGGAGATGGTGACTGTACATGCGTGCCATGGCACCCCAGGATCTTTCTTTAGGAGATCTTTCCTACTCGTAAGCCAAAGAGCACTGACTTAGGTCCTCTTGTCTTCATACAGCACTGTTGTTTGATTGGATATGTGCAGGGAATCTGAGTACGGAACAGTTCCTCTGTGAGTCCTGAAACAGGGTGGCTCACAGATGCATGGGATGCATTTGCTCTGGCATGTCTGGAGACATGCCTACTACAGATGATGCCTCCGAAGATACCCTCAGCAGATGCTATGGAGGAGCGTAGTAAAGATAGGAGTCGAATCTGCTTCCCAGGACTAGACGGAATCAGCTCTTTCAGATTTACACATACCTGCGTTCTTTGGGCACAGTGGCCAGACTTTGTGGGGCAGCCGCTGTAGCTTCTTCAGTTCTCTTCCCCCTCCTCCCCTTCTTGTTTTGTTTATTGACACAGGGTCTCACTATACAGCTCTGGCTGGCCTGGAGCTCACACACAGATCCACCTGCCTCTGCCCCCAATTGCTGGGATGCAGCCTTTGTAGCTTCTTGTGCGGGACTGAGTAGGTTTGCTTTGGATCTCAGCTCTGTGCTGTCATGAGGGTGGGTCCTGTTGCTTTTACCCAGATGGCACAGGTCTGGTCAGGTGTGTAGTTCCACTTGTATTTGTCTTTAAGGATGTCCACATTAGTTCCAGCAGAGGGTGTGGGTTTTGTGAAATCTAACACCACAATGCTCTCCACCACTTGATTATCTACTTGTCTTATTGCCAGGCAAAGGACCTACTGGCTTTACAGGTTGATTCACAGATCAACAAAAGTGTAACTGGTGACTTTTGGAGAGATCTTTCAGCTTTTCAGAGAAAACAGCAGTTTTCAACTCTGTCTACTGAGCAGAATTTCTGTGAAAAAGAGTCACACGAGGCTGGAGGTGCTAGCACATTCTCCCCTGAGATCTGGAAATGACCCTTTTATGAAACCACACTTCTTGGACACTTGGTGACATCATTCTGCAGAGTAGCTAGCCGCCGCCGCCGATACTTGAACCTTGAAAGTCTCACTGGAGTTAATGGGACTGAGAAGGAAAGCATTTCTTACAGTCTTCTGGACAGTGTTCTGAAGCATGCCTGCCTCTGCTAGCTCTTTTATCATGTGAAATGACCCCCCCACACACACACACACACGAAACTGTACTACTCCAACCATACCTCACAGCATTGCTTGGAGTGTGGGGTGGGTCATTGGCTACACATGTATCCCATTACTATAGGAACATTTCTTTTGGTAAAGGGAGGACCTCACATACTCAAGACAGGCTGTGTATCCTGGATAAGATTGTTCCCTAGGCCAAGGTCATTACTGGGAAGGATACCCTATGAGTCACTAGCAGTCAGTGCTCCAACAGCTCACAAGATAACTGTCTTTGTCCTGGTGGAACAGTCTAAGAGGTAGGACAGGTACACTTTGTGCCCTAATGTCAGAGATGGCAAGCCCATGCTGTCACTGTTAGACAGAAAGTTGGCCCTGGTAGGGACTGATGTGCCTCAAAAAACAGGACATAAAGCACAATAATGAACTGTGCTCAATTCCAGCTGAGTCATGAAGACAGTGTTGGTGGCCCCTCCATATGGATGGCAAAGGGCCCCCAAAGAGGACATCAAGAGCAATAAGTGGGCATGGTGAGCTCTAGCTGGGACAGCTTAAACTAGCTTCAGGAACCTCCCAGCTAGAAGAGCATGCGCAGAATGCTGTTACCCTTCCCCAGTAAACCTTTCAACTCGAGGGGAACTTAAAATTCCATACATCTCCCTGTGTTTTTACATCTACTTTTCTGGGAGTGCTCAACCTGGGGGAAGACGCAGGGAAGGGTTGATTGGGAAGAGAGAAATACAAGCCCCACAGTTGCTAGGATTGGTACCATTATTCCTTAGCATGACCTGCTGTTTCTAGAGTGGAAACAGAGCCATGTGACTCACTGCAAAGTGGTCTCTGGCCAAGCCTTATCTTGCCTATGCCTCCTAAATCTCTCCTCCAGATCACAGATACTCCCGGGATTAGCCTCAGAGAAGCCCCATTATCTAAAATGCAATTTCCAGTAAAATGAGCCACACACACACACACAGGCATTAACGATCCTCTAGGTGAGAGCTTGTTTGCTTATCTGCAAGTTGAAACCAAATATATTATTCTCGTTGTTGTTCACACTGACGTAGTAGGAGCACGCGAAACCAGGCTGTTCTAACTTGTCTGGAATGTGGCCCAAGGGCCGTCAGTAGCACTTGGTACAGTGTCGCATGAAATCCTAAATGGTCTTAATAATAAAAACCGGGAGCCAGATATTGGGGTAAATGCTGAAAGATCAGAGAGACAAAGGAACAAGCCACTGCCACATCTTACCTCGCCAACTCCACGAATCCTGACTTAATGCCTCTGAGTCCTCAGCCAAAAATGTTTTCTTGCTGAGAGGCCTCCAGCCAAAAAGCTCTCGGTCAAAAAGCTTCTGCTGAAAAGGCTTCAGCCCAAAAGGCCTCCAGCTGAAAAAGCTTTAGTTCCTGTCTCCTCACACCGTATACACCTTTCTCCGCCCAGCCATATTACTTCCTTCCTAGTGCTGGGATTAGAGGCGTGTGACTCCCAAGTACTGGAATTACAGGTGTGTGCCACCACTGCCAGGCATCTATGTTTAATCTAGTGGCTTGTTCTGTTCTCTGATCTTCAGGCAAATTTTATTAGGGTACAACAGAATATCACCACATTTCCCCTTTTTTTTGTCTAAAAATAATAAAAGGTTATAACTAATATAAGAAAAACTATATACAATAAGTATATACAATATATACAGTAAAGAATTACGTTAACAATGTCCAGTCCATTAACATTTGACAGATTCAGAGAAAATACTCCATTATTTATCCTATTTTGGTGAATCCAAAGTGTTGTACCTAATTCACTTTCTATCCTAACTTGTATTACCAACCCAAAACTATCTTTTGATGTCTTTCAAACTTATACACTTTATACTTCTTTAGTGAGTTTCTTTTCTGAATTTGTTAACAAAGAAAACTATAACTATCTAATCTTCAACTCCCTCAGAGACCCGAGAAAGAAATATTACCTAAATAAACAGAAAGTGCAGGTAAGTGACTTCCAAAAAATATGAGAAATGACAGAAACTGCTGGATGCCTGGGTAATTACCCAAGGTTCCCCTGCAGAGTTGGGGCGTCCATCTTCGGCCGATAGGTTTAGACTATCTGACAGATTTTTCTATGAAGCAGGATTTTCTAAGGGGCTTTCCCACCTTGTCTTGGCAAAGTTCGACAGTCCTTTCTTTTGTGTCCATTTGGACAGCATACTGTCAGCAGTTGAGGTAAGGGCACTTTCTTGTCCAGTTGCTGACTTTTGCCACAAAGAAAGTAAACTCCATGTGGAATTTCTTCAATGCCCATCATCTTCTCTGAAGTAGATTGGTACTGCCAGGAACAGACATGTCTCATAGTCATAAAAAAAAAAAAGAATCTATGTTATTAAAACATTTTAAATGCCATATTCTGTAGATCTCTGAAGTGTTTGAAGATTTCCTGTCTATCTAAAATATATCTGTTTAACCTTGAAAACATACCTAACCTGACAAGTTCCATTGTAATAGGTGACTAACAACTGACCTGCATTTCTTTTGGTTTTGTTTGTTTTTGTTTTTTGTTTTTTTTCGAGACAGGGTTTCTCTGTCTAGCTTTGCACCTTTCCTGGAACTCACTCTGTAGCTCAGGCTGGCCTTGAACTCACAGAGATGCACCTGCCTCTGCCTCCCAAGTGCTGGGATTTAAGGCATGTGCCACCACTGCCCAGCTGCATTTCTTTATATCCTAAATAGTTAATAATAATAACTTTCAAGGACTAGAAAATTGCATTACATTGTTAAGTGAGTTGTATAGGTACAATACCTTGAACAAGATTAGAAATGTACGTACAGTATGTTCTAACAAAAATAATCTCAAATTTGTACCAATATACAAAATTTGTATACAATATACAAAAATCCAATCCAATGTAAAATATTTAAAACTAGTAGTTTCTTTTTAAAAGTATATTCAATAATCTACCTTTTTATCTTATCATATCTATATCCTCCCCTTTTTCTTTTCAGAGTAGATTCAATAATCTACTCTTTTATCCTATCATTTCTGTATAATACATTTCTAGACCATATCCCCCTTTCTTCTTTTAGAAAGAGATTGACTATAAACAAAAACAATTTTTAATCCACCCCCTAAACAAAGACAAACACCCATAAATCCATTTTTGGGGAATGTGGGTGTAGTTTTCTAGGCTATTTCCTGCTGATTGGGGGCACTGGTAGTCTTATGGGAACACAAAGAAAATTTAGGACTATGGTCAAGTCCTGATTAGAGTAGTCTGTGAGACTGCATCATCTCAGCTAGACATTTTGATATTGTCCTGAGCAGTTTGTAGCTGATCTTTGGGTGGTGTTTGTCAGCTTAGTGGCATTATCATAGTCCTCATGGAATCATCATTGTGGGGGTCTCATCATCTTTTCAAAGACTTTAAAGGTCACTGTTAGGTGTGGTCATGGTTCACTGCAGAAAATCTTTCTCATGGGACATTTTTTCTGGATGATTTTTCCTTTTCCTTTAGATGTCTCATTTGTCCAGAGTTCTTCAGATTCCTTAGCCTTCATTCTTCTGAAAGAAAAAAATAAAACCCTTTCCCAACCCTAACTTTGGGGAGGTTCCCTTTTGGCAAGTTATAACTGATCAAATGAAAAGCTTTTGTTAGTTGTATAAGTTAATTGAAATTGAATGGTCATGCTGATTGATGAACTATTACCTTTTCTAATAAAGAAGTCTCACTTGTTCAAATTGAACCTTTATCAATTTTGATCATATCCATAGCTTTTCTTCTCCTATGGAATCAAAAGCAAAACCTTGTCCCCAATGTAATACATATTCTGGTTTCCATTCTGAGGTCAACACATCTTTAAAATATACAGGCTGATTTAATTCTGTAGTTTTTTTTCCCCTCTATTATCCAGTGTTTCTCTGCAGCTGTTGTTCCTTTTTCATTAGCACTGAGAACATTCAAAGTTAATAAAGCATTATGTAATCTATTTTTGGGGGGGTTGTTACCCTTTTCTGTTTATTTAGCATAACTTTTAGAGTTTGGGAAAGGGTATGGAGAAAAAGACACCCACTTTTTGTGGTGGTTTGAACATGAAATGTCTCTCACAGGCTCGTGTGTATGTTCACTCGGTCCCCAGATGGGGGCGCTGTTCTGAGAGGCTGAGGAACCTTTAGGAGTTGGGGTCTAGCTGGAGGAAGTGGGTGGCTGAGGGGCGGGCGTTAAGGTTTATAACCTCCTTTACATTTCTGATGCTTTGCTTCCTGGTATATGCAGAAAAATAAAGCAAAACAAAACAGAACAGATAACAACACAAGCTCCGACCGCCACAGATGGAGCCCCAGCCACCATGCCCCGCCCCACAACAAATCGAGCTGAACTAAACCTTAATTCCTTCGATCTTGTCAGGTATTTCGACTGGGTGAAAAGAAAAGAAAAAAGTATAATATTTCTCATTACTCAGTAATTCGTAATTATATACTTTTAGTTACTTTCATTTACTCTCAATTTTTGTCATTCTTGTTATTGACAGTGCTGAGATCCATCCCAGGGCTTGCTTGATGCTAAATAAATTCTTAAATGCTGAGCTACATCTCCAGCCACGTTATTTTTAAAATAGCATAGAATTCAGAATTAGGTCATCCTGATTTTCCTACACATCAACATCTCCAGCAAGGTTTTTATGTTGTTTGTAGGGGCAGTGCCTGGATCAGAGAAGGTGCTCATGAGGCACTCTTGGAATGCGTCACTGTACTCACATGTCTGCATGTTCCCAATACTGTTTCTTAGAAAGAGCCGTAAGAAAATGGCAGCAGGCGTTCTGTGACTAAGGGAAATGGAGAGGAGTGGAGCCTGCCACCATAACTAGCTAATGTTTCTTCTCTTGCTCTTTTTCATTCTTCCTTCCTCCCTCCCTCCCTCCCTCCTTCTTTCCTTCCTTCCTTCTGTTCTTGACACAGGGTCTTGAAGATGACAGGTAAGTACTCTGTCACCAAGCTACACCTCCAGCCATCAGCGTGACATTTTATTGTCTTCATAGTACCTCATAGGTTTGGGTTTGTTCTGTTTCATTTTCATTTTATTCTAGGATTTTTTTCTTCTTCCTGGTTTCTTTGGGGACCCATTCATCCATCCTTCAGTAGTATGCTATTCACTCTCCATGAGCTTGCATCTGTCCTAGGGGTTCTTTTATGGCAGATTTGCAGTCTTAGCCCAGAGTGGCCAAATAGAACACAAGGCATTATTTTAACTTTCCTGAATTTGCGGAGGCTAGCTGTGAGTGCAAATATACAATGCATTTTGGAGAAAGTTCCATGGGATTTTGAAGTTGTAAGAAATGGGTCTGGGGTCTCAAGAAAGTGATCACACAACCCAAGGCATTTTTGCAAGGCAAAACCTTTTATTTCTTTCGAAGGGCGCATAGTCAAATCAAGCAAAGGAGCCCTGTCCCTCACTCTGAGGGGTCAAGAGCTTGGCCTCACATTCCTAAATTTGTCTGCTTTAAAGCAACAAGCAAGATGTGATTCCTAGCGGAAAGTGCTACCTTGAGTCCATCTTTTTTTTCAAAAAGTGCTGTCCCTTAAGGAATTTGTGTTTCTTTCTGTCAAGTTTCTTCTTTAAAACACATTTTGATGGACTTTTGTCCTCTTTAACCTTTTGATAGAAAGGATACATTTTGTTTATGTTTTCCACAGAATCGCCCACTTCCTTGTGCTGGAACCAGTCTGGGCTTTCTAGTATCTTCCTTATGAGACTGGGTGCATCTGTGTTCGGAGCACATCTGCTCAGCAGTTGTAACGTCCTCCTGATAGGTCATTCCCTTATTCAGAATGAAGTGACTCTTGTGTTTTCTCACTGGTTCAGTTTGAGGTCTACTTCGTCAACAGTGTCCCCAGCTTATTTCCTAGGTCTATTTGCTTACAACATTTTTCCTCATGATTCCGTGCTAAGGTTGTAGCTGTCTTCTGTGGTGAGGTGCATTTCTTGGAGGTAGTAAATGGATGCTTCCTGTGTTTTGATCTACTCTACTAGTCTGCCTTTTGGTTGGGAAGTTGAGACCATTTAAAGTCTTATTATTGAAAGGTATGCATGGATTCCTTTCATTTTGTTTACTTGGTAGTTGTCTTAGTTAAGGTTTCTATTGCTGTAAAGAGACACCATGATCACTGGCAACTCTTATAAAGGAAAACATTCAATTGAGGTGGTGGCTTACATTTTCAGAGGTTTAGTCCATTATCATCATGGTGGGGAACATAGCAGCATGCAGGCAGACAAGGTGCTGGAGAAGGAGCTGCTACATGTGGATACACAGGCAACAGGAAGTAGTCTGAGACAGTGCGTGGTATCTTGAGCATATATGGGACCTGAAAGCCCCACCTCCACAGTGACACACTTCCTCCAATAAGACCACACCTACTCCACAAGGCCACACCTCCTAATAGTGCCACTCCCTTTGGGGGCCATTTTCTTTCAAACCACCACAGTAGTGGGTTCCCCCCCTTTCTCTCTTACTTAACTATTATTCTGGTGTGGTTTATTTTTTTCCTGTGACCTCATGGATGGATATTTCTCTTCAGTCCAAAGGGATCATTCAAGTATTTCTGTAGTGTTATCTTAGTAAATTCCTTGGCCTACTTTTATCATGGAAAGTTTTTATTTCTCCTTAACTATAACAAATAGTTAGTTTTGCTAGGTATAATAATCTGTTCTGGCAGTTTTTGCTTTTCAGAAATATATCTTGAAATACTCGTCCAGGCCATCCTGGTTTTTAAAGTCTTGAGTTAAGAAATCTGCTACTATTTTGATGGGTCTTCTTTTATATGTGATTTGGTGTTTCTATCTTGCTACTTTCAATATGGTTTCTTTTCTCTGTATATTTAGTGTTTTAATTATAATTACAACATAAGATGGGACATTCTTTTTTGGTCTTGTCTGTTTGGTGTCTCAAATGCTCCTATATCTAGATTGGCATCCCCTTTACCAACTCTGGGACATATTCTGTTATTTTTTAAAATTAATTTATTTATTTAATGTGTGTATGTGTGTCCATCACTTATGTGCAGACACCCACAGAAATCAAAATAGGCCATTGGGTTCCCTGGAACTAGAGTTATAGATGGTTATGACTTGTCACATGGGCACTGGGACCTGAACCCTGGTCTTTTGCAGGAGCAGTAAATGCTCTTAACCACTGAGCCATCTCTCCAGCTTCTCTAGTGATTCTCTTTTTAAAATGTTTTCTATGCCTTTGGAAACACACCCTTTTCCTTCTTCTACCCCTGCCACTGGTAGACTTGTGTTTTCATGGTGCTGCATATGACTTGGAATTCTCACTCACCTTATCATTGTCCTTGTTTGATTGTCCCGGTTCCTTTACCATGCTTAAAGGCCCCAGTGTTCTGGTCTCTCCTTCGACTGGTCCTTTGGGTGAGACTTTCTCTGGAGTATTCTATTTGCTTTACTGTGTTCTCTATTTCTAGTGTTTCAGATTGGATTTACCCCAGTGTTTTTATCTCTTTGATGAATTTCTCTCCCATCCGCAATCACTTTTCTTATCTCATCCAGCTGTTTGTTTGTATTCTTAGTCAAAACTTATGTTCTTTGATTTCTTTGAACATATTTAGAATCTTGAGTTCTCTGTCTGGGATTTCATCTAATTCATTCTTGCTAGATACCATTACTAGAAAAGTAGTAATTTTTGGAGGAGTTATGCTGTCTTGGGTTTTGTGTGTTTCTTATGTTACTGGGTTGGGATTATGCATCTGGGGGTATTTCTTTTTTCTTTTCTTTTCTTTTAATATGGAACGCTTCATTAATTTGTGTGTCATCCTTGCACGGGGCAATGCTAACCTTCTCTGTATCGTTCTAATTTTTTAGTATATGTGCTGCCGAAGCGAGCATGGTAATTCTTTTCTTGGTTCAATTTTTAATCAACTCTATCTTTTTTCAGTTGAAGTATTTATAGTGTTCATGTGGGGTTTGGATGTGGTAGAGTTGAATATATGGTTAAGAAAACAGTTCCTCAGTCCAGGAACTCAGGGTCTTTGGTGCAATCTCTATATTATTACTTGAACAGGACATTAACTGGTTGAGTCATCACAGTTGCTTGGTATTACTACCATGCAAATGTCATACCAGATGTCCCTTAACTTCAATAACTATTGGAGGGTAAACAACCAAGATAGTATGGTGTATACTCAGGTTTTAGTTAATAGTATTAGGATTGGGAAGGAAATAAGTGGGTGAGAATAGAAATAAATAAGTAAAAAATACTGAGGTGAGTAAAGTAGCTGGGAAGGGAAAGTTGGTTGAGATACTGTTCGGGTCCACAGATTTTAGTGATTATAAAAAGAGGAGGACTGGAAAGATGACTCAGCAGTTAAGAGCATTTAATTACTGCTCTTCCAGAGGACCTGGGTTCAATTCCCAGCACTCACATGGCAGCCCACACTCTCTATAACTCCAGTTCCAGGGAATCTGACATCCTCACATAGACATACATGCAGGCAAAACACTAGTGCACATGAAATAAAAATAAATCTTTTAACAAATTTTAAAAGGAAGAAAAAAGAGACTGAACATCGTGGCATACAACTTTAATCCCAGCACTCAAGAGGCAGAGGCAGGTGGATCTCTGTGAGTTTCAGGCCAGTCTGTTCTACATATTGGGTTCCAGGCCATTCAGGGCTACAAAGTGAGATCCTGTCTAAAAACAAACAAACAAAACAAAAATGAAAAGAGGACTGGGAAGGATAAGAGAAAACAGACAATACCTAGGAATCAGATGGGAAGTATGAGATGTGATTGAGGAGTATGGTAACGAATGCCTCAGGATTAACTGGCCACGGAAAATAATCAGCGGTTCTGGTGTTGATTTCTCTGTTCTAGCAGACCGTGGTTGTTGATCAGTGATGGTGGATGCTCCAGAAAGTTCCAGTTCCTGTGGAACATCTCCACAAATGCCTCTACAAGACTGCTCCATCATTCCAGGGGAGTGCCTTTCTGCTGCATGTTCTTCTTGAATTAAGACCCTCACTAAGCATGCTCAAGTGTATGGGTCTTAAATTGAACATGCACTGGTTTGGACCCTTCCCAAAGTGCCTCCCTCATGTGAATAGATATAGGCCTCCCCAACAATTCCTCACCCTTTCTTTGTTTGAGGGGAGCACTATGTTCTAGCTGTAGGTGATAAAAATCTTTCACGGTTGTGTCCTGGCTGTGAGTTTACGTCTTGCACCTGAAGTTGCTCACACAGCCACAGCTGGAATGCTGGTGTTAGGCTTGCTTTCTTCATTTTCCTCCATTTCCTCCAGTCTAGGACCCCAGACCATGGGACGGTGCAGCTCACCTTCAGTGCAAGTCTTCTCCACTCGGTTCAACTTTTTGGGAAACATCCTCGTAGACACACGCAGAGGTGTGATGCCGCGGTGTGTCTAAATTTAGACAACTTGACGACGAAGATTAACGATCACACTCATTACTAATTAGGAAAGCGCAGGCCTTAGGATTTCTATTGTTGTGATGAACACCATGACCAAAATTAACTCAGGGGAGAAATAGTTAATTTTATCTTACAGCTCTCAGGTCACACTCTATCACTGAGGGAAGTCGGGGCAGGAGCCTGGAGGCAGAAACTGAAGCAGAGGCCATGGAGGATGCTGCTTGCTGGCTCGCTTCTCGTGTCTTGTTCAGCCTGCCTTCGGATACACCTCAAGACCATCCGTCCAGGGGTAGCACCGTCCCCCATGGGCTGGGCCCATTCATATCAACCTGGATAGAGGCATTTTATCAACTGGGTTTCCCTTTTTCCAGATGACTAAAGCATTTGGTCAGGTTGACGAGCTAACACATGAAGAAAGAGGAAAAACAGACCCTTTCCAAAATAAATAAATAAATAAATAAATAAATAAATAAATAAATAAATAAATAAATAAATAAATAAATGCGATTCAACTGTTGCATAATGCGGCGTGACACCTGAGACGGCTTGGGGCAGCTCTGTGTTGACCAAACATGCTGTCATGGAGCCTGTGGGCCTGGGTCTGAGGACCCACCATAGATACTAACACCACCAGGAGAGGTCCAAGTCTTCCTTGGGAGGTGGCCGGAAAGCAGAAGCCCACACACATCTGGGCTCACATCTGGGCTCCATCCGCGCCTCATTCCAGAACTCCCCAGCAGAGGGCAGTCTGAGCTCAGGCACCATTTTTGCCTGGCCACTGGTTTAGCCAGCAGGGCAGATGGGCACCTAGCCCCATCACTGCCCACTGAAGCTTGGGCATGGTGCCCACTCGCTGGTGGCAGCAGCAGCACCAGAGAAACAGGATGCACAAGGAGGTTGGGTAGAAAGGTTGTTTTGAGTTCTCCCTAAGCCTGGCAGATGCCCGGCCCTGGCATCCTGCCACGCTCCCCCATCTAGGATCCTGGACTGAAGGCTCATCTCGCTCTCAGCCCAGTGCAGGCTGCTCACTGTTTCCATTCACAGTTCGGAATCTGTGTCTCGGAGGCATAGACTCCTAGAGGCTCCGCGGTGGGAGGGGCTCTGTTGCTGTAAGTCTACAAGCTGGCATTTCAAAGAACTTCAAAGGGCAGGTGGGGGCCCTAAACCGTGAAGCCGTCTTAGAGTTAAGAGGTGGCAGCTATGTTGAATGGGGGAGGTGAGTCTTGTGAAGAAATGTCTCCGTCCTATTGTTTTTCTAACTGAGTGACAAGAAATGTGGCTGGGGGGTGGGGGTGGGGTGGCTGCAGAGATGGCTCAGCGGTTAAGACCACTGGCTGTTCTTCCGGAGGAGCCATGTTTGACTCCCAGCACCCACATGGCAGTTCACAACCCACAACCATCTGTAACTCCAGTCCCAGGAGATCGGATGCCCTCTTCTGGCCCTCTGGGACACTAGGCACACACAAGGTACATACATATACTTATAGGCAATTAAAAAAAAACCTACTTGAGGAGGATTTTGGAGGAGTTGAGGAGAGAAAGAATATGATCAAAATATATTAAATCAACAAATTTTAATTTGGAAAAGAAAGAGAGAAAAAAGAAAAAAAGAAAAGTGGCCATGCCTGAGTCACATCACTGGTTACCAATTATCTCCTTATTTAATAGAAGAGTTAAGGCCCAGAGAGAAGGAGCTTCTTACCCAAGGAGAGGCCCCATTCCCTTTCTCACTAGAACATGATGGTATATTAGTGACCTGATACCTAGGGGGCAAAGGCCGACTATTAAGCAGAAGTAGCTGGGCATGGCTTGGACTTCTGGATCTGTCTGACTGGTGGCCGCTGAATAATCCTAAGATTGCCTCATTTCCTTCCTCGGCCAAAGAACTCTTGTTTGGAGAAAGCAGCCTCTCTTAGGACACAGGACACTCCTTTTCCTCGGTGAGTCACAGCCTCCGAACCACTGTGGACAGCTTGACCCCAAGGCAAAAATCTTCCCTGCTCCTGCTTTTTCCAACGAACACCGCCATCAGTGGCACTCCACTGCTTTGGCCAACTCCCTATAACTTAAACTAGCTTCCCTAGACATGTTACGTACTCCTTGAAATGGGATCATAAGGATCCAGAGGATTGCCCATCTTCAGTCTTCAAAGTTCATGAGGAAAACGGGTAGAGGCACACTATCTTAGGGTTACTATGCTGTGATGAAACACCATGACCAAATGCAACTTGGGGAGGAAAGGGTTTGCTTCCATAGAAATGTTTGCTCACAGTTCCATAGAACAGTTCATCATCAGAAGCAGTGAGGGCAGGAACCTGAAGGCAGGAGCTGATGCAGAGGCCATGGAGGGGTGCTGCTTACTGGCTTGTTCTACATGACTTGCTCATCCTGCTTTCTTATAAAACCCAGGACCACCAGCCTAGGGACGGCACCACCCACAATGGTCTGGGCCTTCTCCCATCAATCACTAATTAAGAAAATGCCCTACAGGCTTGCCTACAGCCTGAACTTATGGAGACATTTTCTTAATTGAGGTTCGATCCTCTCAGATGACTTCAGCTTGTGTCAAGTTGACATGACACTAGCCAGCACAGGCACAGAGTGTGGTTTTCCTGCCACGTGAGCAGGTCTCATGGATGTTGCATGTGCTGGCAGAAGTCTTACCAGTGGCTTTTCAGAAGCTTGTTGGCACTGTGTCCACCTCGGGGAGAATGAGCAGGCCAGAGCTTGGTTATGGATGTTTCCTCAGTCTCAGCCTCCTCCTGAGTAGCTGGGATTGAGCTTGGCTGCAGGGCCGATCACAGGACTACACTTTTAGGTCTCAGGCCTGTAATTGGAAGTGAGTTAGCCCTGGGGAAAAAAATGTCATTTCCTTGTCACTATGACTAACTCCAGTGGGGAGTATTACATAACAAATCCCTTTGTTATGGGCTCTTCCTTGTCCAGCTCCTCCCAGCCAGCAGACACAGGATGTAGTGGAGGTGGTGGTGGTGGTGGTGGTGGTGGTGGTGGTGGTGGTGGTGGTGGTG